TCACAGCGCAGGGAACTCGGCAAACCCTGCTTTGCGTTGAGGCCACAATAACATGTTAGAGCATTCCGGGGAAAGAGCAGGAAAGTAGAATAATTTTTTTTAAATAGGCAATTTAGAAAACGGGCAGCAGTGACACAGACATAATAATAAATAATATTCTTTGCATTTGATATATCGCTTTTCACATCTTCTAGACGTCTCAAAGCACTTCACAGAATATACTGTAAAGTGAATTGACTGTATATTTGTGGGCAAAAATAATGGATCAAATGGCCCCCTACTGTGCAGAAAATGCGTAGGTTTCTGAATTGTATTCCCCACCACCCACCCTCTTCCCTGTTATTTTTACCCAGTTTCTCGAGCTCCTTCTCTTTGAGGGAAGCAGCACATTTCACAAGAGATTTGAATTATCCACATGTGTTCTCAAAGAGAACTGTTTTCCAAATTAAGACTGAATTAAATTTTATTAAAATCCTGCATAACCTTAATGGAACGGTCTTAATAGCAGAACGGAACAGAATTTTGGGTCGTGGCTGATGACTGGATGGATCTTGGCTGTGAGCTCGTCAGGATCATCGCCTGGCAGCTTTGCTTCCAGTCCAGGCTCAAGCGCGGGGATTTGGGGGCTGCAAAGAGCATTAATGTGTTGGCCGGGGAGAGAGTGAAAACAAGAGAGGGAGGAGAGAATGAGAGAGGTGGGGGAGGAGGGGAAGGAGTGAAGAGAACTGGAGAATTACAGATGGAAAACAAGAACTGATTAAACAGTCCAGGCAGAGGAGTGGGGAGAAAGATGAAATAAATCCATCTCTTTATTGAACACGACAGCACGCTGCGGTGCAGTTGGCATAGTGATCAGTGTTGAAAAGAAATGGCAGAGAAGCGTGTGGGACTGAATGGCTGGCATCTCAGCTTTGCTGCTGCTGCTGGGCACCCAGGGGGCTGGCATTTCAAAGTCAGCATCTCCCTCAGTGTACAGAGCATCCCAATCATATTTGCAGACTGCCGCACGCCAGAGCAAGCTGGTTTCAGGAAGCCCAGCAGCATCGGGTCAGCATCGGGTCAGGTAAAGGAGAGGGCGAGTGAGAGAGATCAGACACAAGTCAGGCTGGATCACAGTCAAGAAACATTTTGTCGCTCATCAATCACAGGGGAGTCTATTCTGCTCCATTCACTCGATGCAGCAAATTTGCTGGTAATGGGCTTTGAGCTGCTCTGCTCCGTTCAGTAAGTTTCGTTAATTTCTCACTGTGTGCTGAGTGTAATTTGAAATTACATTACATTAAATTGTGAAATTAAATTAAAAGCATCTCAGTGCATTGCATTTCCTCAGGGTCCATAACTGATCAGAGAGCTTGGGACAATTTGCTTGGTCCTTTTGTTAGAAGAAAACCAATGAGATTAAATAGCCTGGAAATAACCAGATAAGTATTCACTGCGTGGCAGTTTGAGGGACCTTGGTGTGCACAAATTTTTGTCTATAAAAACAAAATCCGTAGGCTGTCATTGCACTTGATAATAATTAGCTATGAAGTGCTCAGAGACATTTCAATACGGTAAGTGCAATAAAATACAAATTCTTTCTAAGATTCTGGTTACTTTTTGTATGAGGCTAAATCAGATAGATTCCTGTTAGGAAATAATACCTTGGGACACAATATATAGTTAGGGACATGGCATGCGAATGTCAGGATGATGGAAGGTGAACTGGATGGACCTTGGTCTTCTTTTGCCTAGCAAATTTTTATATTGTTATGATCATATGTGCAAGACTCTGGACTGATATTTATGTAACTTTTTATAAAAATATTAACAACTTTATTTATACAGCACCATTCATGCAGGAATGTCTTGGAGCCGATTCCTGAAAACAGAACATTGTGAAATGTATGAATTGGGTGCCAGTTGGCAAAAAAAAGTCTAAACTGGAGGTGGCAAAAAATAATCACAATTGCTGTATTCAGTACACATTTAAAAGCTCTTAGTGAACCCGTAGGTTTCTGACCCATAGGCGAGAGTACTATCCACTGAGTCAAGCTGAGACACTACTAAAATACCAGTTCTATTCTACCATCTAACAAACGTGTCTCCTGTCATTAACTTCCTAATAGGCTCTTTAGCAACATTAGATTTTATTGATTTAAAGATAATTATCACAAAACCCTCCTCACTGTTTGATATAGTACTGGCTGCTGTGAAACATGGGCAAGATGACAAGCGATTCCTGCAGAGAGAACCTGGTGAAATGTACTGAACTGGGAGCAAGTTGTTAAAAAGCAATCTGAAGTGGAGGCGGCAATAAATGATCACAATTCCTATCCTCCGTACACCTTTAAAAGCTCCCAGTGAGTCTCGTGAATTAAAATACAGTTTACTAATTGTCCTATAATGAAGTTACATGTCCACTGGTGATTTGTTGGCAGATGTGCAGTATAATATGGGAGGAATGGTTGGGGCACAATAAACCCCCAGTGGTGACCCGCTCCCGACACCATCTAGAAGAATTAAACAGCATCTCCACAGACTTCAGGCAGGTTCACAGTAACCCAAGGTACTGCTGATAGTTGACCAGCGCAGCCATCCTTCAGATGAGATGTTAAACCGAGGTCCTGTCTGCCTGTTCAGGTGGATATTAAAGATCCCAAAGAGCTCTTCGAAGAGAACAAAATTTCTCCCAGTTCCTGGTCAACAGTCTCCCAAATAAAATTGGACACTCACTCCATGGCTGTTTGTGGAACATTGCTGTGCTCAAATTGGCTGCCACAGTATTTGTCCAAAAAATAAAACCCTGAGGTGAAGAGGGACTGCTACAGGTCAGGGACAATCTTTTGAAATGGAATAAAAATAATTATAATCATTGCATTTGATATAGCGGCTTATCATCTCATCAAGATGTCTCAAAGCGCTTCACAGGATATACTATAAAGTGGATTTTACATTAAAAGTAACCAAATGGGATTCTGCAAATGTAGTGGGGGAGAAGCAGTATTTCAAAAGGCCCTCAAACATTTGTAGGTTCTGATACTTTGCATGGTTTGGATGAATGGGTTCAATGTTAAACACTGCTGCACTGCACTCTCTCACAACTCCCGTTTCTCATAGTGGTCACTGGTCAGACCACTGGCACAATGTCAGCCTCTGACATGACTCAGAGTTGCATCAGTCAAGCAACAATATGTTATATTAGGCAACGCAGAGTAAATGTAATCCCAGTGACAGCCTTGCTAAATCAGTAGCTCCCTTCTGGGTATAAAATGTTTGCGCAATTCCCCTCAGAGCAGCAGTGAACTGAGCAAAGACGTTTGTTACAGTGAAGATCTATTATTTACTTGGAAAAAAATCATTAAGAGATAAGTCCTTCATTACTTTCTGGTCTTTCTCCTTTTTCTTGGGGCTGCTCTGGTCAACCATCCTGAACCTCCTCCCAGGCACCAAATGCACCAACCTACACATGTTCCCCCTCCCTTTCCCCCCTCACTTTGTTCAGTCCAGACTCTTTACACCATCTTACTCATTCCTTCACAGAACAAAAAGATTGTGGAAGCACTTTCCTCCCTCAGTCTTCGTTTCCTCCTACACTTTAGAAGCTTTTAAACCACAAACTTGGCATCACCTAACCAGTACTTCATTTATCACATCTTTCCCACCAGGGACATCACTAGCATTGGAAAGAGTAGGAGAGATAGCTTGTGATTTCTTGCTTATGCTTCTTAACAAAAACTAAATGTTTCCTGGTTTCTAAAATGGCAAGATGACAAAGTACTTTTCATGGTAGGACAGCAGAGAAAAGAGAGTTTAAATTATTGGATGGAATTTTACACAGTTTACACATTAACAACCGTCAAGGCCAGTTGAAAGCAAAATTCGCTCGCAAAGCAGTTATTTGCACATTACAATAAATCCTTTGGTTCGCTTTGGGACATCTTCCTGACGTGAAAGACATTATACCAAATGTAAGGATTATTACTAAAATTCCTCTATAGTATCATATTTGTGGCGACATATCAATGACAACAGACCAAATCCATTTACGGTCTTAAAAGGCCATCATAATATTAATTATGATCACATATTAATGTATGGAAGGTGTATTTCTCACTTAGAATACAGCATAATATGGAGCGTTAAACATTATTCAACAACAACAACAAAATTACATTTGTATAGCGCCTTTCACGTCAGAAGGACGTCCCAATCAAATTCAATCAAACTAATGGAATTTGGCTTATTCAAAACACAAAATACTGCAGATGCTGGAAATCTGAAACAAAAACAAGAGAGAGCTGGGAAAACTCAGCAGGTCAGGCAGCATCTATGGAGAAAGGAAAATGAGTCAACGTTTCAGGTCCATGACCCTTTGTCAGAACAAAATTCGGCTTATTGTTGGATGCAATGAACACTCCGAGCACTGGGCTGATGGCATTACCCATGACACAATGGAGGAAGTGTAGTGATCCTTGTAATTGTGAGTCATGACAAACAACTGCTCTGGCAGGTAGCAAACAAAGTCAATTTAGACTTATTTGGGGAGGCGTAATGACAGAAGTAACTAAGTAAATGTCCTTGAAATGTCCCTTGGACTATAGCTTTTTTTTTGTTTGTTTTCACGATGATTACAAATGATATCGTCTAGTGAGGAATGCCAGCAGCCAATATCTCTGAATCTGCCAGAGTGGACTGATGTCATCATCTCTAATGTGCAATTGGATAAAGATGGCAGAAACTAATTCTCCTGGGATAACAAATGCTGTAGAGGGCAAGCCTCATCTTCAAAGTGCAAAAGGGAAGGTAGTTTACTTACTGAGGATTAGAGCAATCTCCTTTCTCCAGATCTCATCCACCATAAATTTATCTGGATTAAGCTACATGTCAAGGATATGACAGTAATAGCCAGTAGGAAATAAGTCCATAAATCAGACCCATCAGCTGCTTTTAGATACAGGTTGCTCAGCTGGCTCATGCCCTGTTCGCAATTGTAATCTATACTAAAGTTCCATGCTTACCTGCCATCATTTTCTGAGCCTCATAGGGTTCCATATATCCATCGTTTTCAGTCACTTTCTCCTGTCCAGCCTGGGTCACGCCACTAGTCTGCTTAGCATCGAACGGATCAGCGTAGTCTTCAAGAATAATGACCTGTCAGTGGACATAGATTAAAACATGTGAGCGAGATAGATACATTATACACTGAGAATAGGTTGGGCCAGTAATTGTTTTCGAATGTGTTGAATGAAGTCTTATTCAGTGCCCAGGAGCTATAAGCAGCTATTACTTTCTCACTGAAAGGGAGGAACAGCCTCTTTTATGTTGCAAAGAGCAACACATAAAGGATCCATACACCTCAGTCATTGTCTTGTACAAGATTACAATGTGGCAAATACTCGTTAAGCTTCTCTCATGCATGTTCATGTGTGGAGCGGACAATAAATAGATGACAGACCAACCTCAGACACTTTGGATGGATCCTTGGATGTAATATTGTGACTTTTCCACTGGAGCAGAAAAGGTTGGGGTGGGAGGGGGGAGAAAGCCAGTTGATGTACACATGCCTGAGGTGCAAGCGTGCGAGATATAATTGGATATGTCAGTTGATGCCATTAAAGGCTATTTTTCCAGTTGTTCAAACAGCCCACATGAAGCTGCTCAGAGAAGCTAGCTGCACATTTGTGTGCGTGCATGTGTGTCTGTGTTGAGAAGTATCAATTACAACCTTCCACACAGCCAGTCAGTCAACTGCAGCCCCCAACACAATCATGGGAAGAGGTCCAAGAACTGCCTCATTATCCCAAGTCAAAAGACATCAGCCCTCAAACTGCAGACCCAAATATGTTAGCTTCCTTTCCCTGGTTACCTGCTCTAAAACAGAAACGTGTATTGCAGTATTACTAGGCCATGTTTGAGCAGGTCTTGGGACTGGAGACAGAGGGCAAGCAATTATCTAATTGGTTCCAAACTGCAACTTCTCTCAACAGACATTTGTCTGAACCACTGGCTCCAAATGAACAAATTGGAATTGATGGATCAGAAACCTGTAATATTACAGTAAACTCCTGATAACTCATCACTCCAAGTGGAAGGCACTCAGTGACTAGTTAACAGGAGTGGAGAGTTAGGCATATGCATAAATACAAAAATAAATGCAGCCGAGATATTAGCAACATGATGACTTAAGTGGCAGTGACAAGTTAAGCCAGGGTCGAGTTATCAGGAGTTTACTGTATTTAATCCACATGATTTATAAAGATACGAATCTTCACAAATACACAGTCACTACACTGGACAGCAATTCCCTGTGAAGTGTTTTAGGGTTACAGGTGCTTCGTCAAGTGCATGGATTATGATTATTAATTATTATTATTGTAGTAAATTGCCACTAAATACCCAGTAAGAACTCAGCATAAGATTAGAGCAAGATCTGAAATGCAATATCAAATTGTTTTGATCAGAAAGAACCTTTTAGTTTATCCTGGCCGGGGGGGGGGAGGGGGTGGTTGGGGAGGTGGGGGGAGGGGGTTGAGAAGGTGAAATGTGCAAACATATTAAACAATCACCATGAGATTCCCTTCCCAGCTTCCTCTACCCCCACCTCAATGCTGCAGTAATAAATCTACTCTTGACATCCTTTCTAATTTTACTTGTTAAGATTTATTACTCACCAGCGAGGAAACACATTTCACACTCAACGAAACAACTGCTTGTTTAATATCTCCCTCGTGAACAGATGTCAACTCTCAGTGTCCACCACCCAGCCCAAAAACATTAATAAAAAGTCATCGGGCTCTGTTCCGGGGCACTTCTCAGTGCAATTCCCTCTGAACGCATCTCACAAAACGCTCTCGCCCAACAGAGACAACACATATCTTCATTATTTGGAAAGGCAGGAAATGCACTGAAGCAAAATTAGCTTGTCTCACTGTACTGAAGGGTGGCCCACATCAGCAGTAGGTTCATTGCTAAACCAGCACCGTCACACTGGGATTGATGGCCTGGTCTTGTAGTGCGAGAATAATTTACATTCAGCACTCTACCTACCTCCATCGAGTACAGTGGCAGCTCCATACAGTCTAGAGCCCGCCCACTACAGGTAATTCTCTGATTATTGCTACATGTATGAAGCTTTGCGATGTGCACGAGGGGTGCTACTGTTGGCCTAAATTGTTTCGAGGGAGGAGGGAGGTGGAAGTGGGGAAAAGAGGAAAGGGGGGGTATTGGGCAGAGTTCCCACTGCCCTTTGCTGTCCAGTCCCCCCACTGCTGTAAAATGGGTATGTGTGGGTGTTAGATGTGGGCAAGATCAGGCTCTGGTATTACCACTCACCCCAAGATCATTCGCCCATTGACAGTGACCTGACTGGCCTCGCAGTAAGAGAAATGATACAGAAAATGTAAATGTGAACTGGGTCACACTGGAACGAAACGAACAGTGTTAAGAAAAACACAAGTCAAGGAGCACTGAACATGACTGAGAACAGCCTCCTGAGAGTAAACAGAGCGGGAGGCAATAGTGCACTAACCGAACTGGAGACTTCCTCCCTGCATACAGCAGCCTCAGTGGAGCTTAAAAAGAAGTGGCCACATTTTTGTTTTACACACAGCTGATTAACAACAAAGCCAGCATTCAACAGGCGGCTCGCTCGCTGCTTTGTAGGGCTCAGCATTGCTAACCCATTTCAATTTCAAAAGTCTTTAAGCATTGAATATGAATGGGCTGGATAGGTAGGGTGGGCAACTTTAGTTTAGTCCACTCCCACCCACCCCCACCATTCACTTGTGTACTCTGTGCTGTATGTTCAGTTTCTCTGAACAAGAGTAAGGCCGCAACCCCAGGAGCTGATAGTCACCAGGTGAGTGAAAAGACAGGCATAATAATAATAATAATCCTTGCATTTAATATAGCGCTTTTCACGTCGGGAGGACGTCCCAAAGAGCTTCACAGAACACACTGTAAAGTGAATTGACTGTATATTTGTGGGCGAACGCGGCAGTCAATTGCGCACAGCAGTGTCCCACAAACAGTCGTAGATTGAAAATGACCAATTTATTATTGTTTTTGGTTTTGGAGGGATTATTATTAGGCGTGTGGAGTAAGGAAACTTGCCCAAGGTTTCGCCCTGCCTGGAATTGAACTCAGGTCTCTCACTTGCAAAGAGATTGGTCTAACCACTGAGCTACAGGACTCCACAAACTTTCTTCAGCTCAACGTGCGCAAAACTGAGGCCCTCCTGATTAGCTCCCGTCAGCGCCTCCGCACCTCAGGCGCTGACAGCATCAGCATCCAAGGCTGCACTCTCCACCTCTCAAAGCCATCAGGAACCTCGGTGTTCTGTTCGACCCTGAGCTGTCCTTTCTTCCCTACATCCGCGCCACAGCTGGCATCTCCATTTCCCACACATCCAGATACTCGTAAACTTCAATCAGTTTAATCCGCAGCACCTCGGTCTTCAGTGTTTCTGACTGGACACAGGTCTCATCCTAACAAAAAAAAACATCCAAAAATCTTCCTATTCAAGGCCTTTCTTAAACTATTCCTTTGCCCTGGCCTCACCCATCTTTCCCGATAACGGGTTGTAGCTACCGATAATGCTCTGAATGAAGAAAATACTTCCCACTGTCTATTCTGTACTTGGCTCTTCACAACTCAGACCATGTGCCCTCTTGTCCTGCTGCATTAGCATGTCAGAGCGGTATTGTTCTAGGTATTCTCCAGACCAATAAATTGTACAGATTTCTTCTTGAGGCTGAACAGTCTCACATACTTAAATATATCTGAAATTAACCACATCCCAATTACTTCCACCATTGTCACCAACATAATTTAACCTCAGAGTTACAGCCACAAATGCTCCCTCCAGATATGTACAGAAAGACAGAATCTATAATTGTGTGTCTAAAGTGTTTGCACGGTTCAATTGCACAGAGAACAAAGATCTCAATATCTTAGCCACCCACTAATAATCTCTACTGAAATCCATGTGACAGCACAGTGTTACTGCTAAAAATTAAACCAATACAGTCAGAATTTTCATTCCAGTCTAGTTACTATATTACTGGGGCTTTGAAAATGCTCCTCAATTATCATGATCCAAAGTAACATTGGCAGATCAGTGAGCTCGGACCAGCGCACAAATGTGGATAGAGAGATGGTTGGAGGGCAAAAAACAAAGGGTAGGGGTAAAAGGAAATTTCACATGGAAGATATAGATTGCACAGAAGACTGTGTTGGGCTGCTCTTATTTAACTACATGCAAAAAATACTGGATTTAGGAATTGAGGGAACTATATTGAAATTTGATGATGACCCCATATTGAGGCAAGGAGTGATGAAGATAGCGAAAAACTATGGGAGAATATAGATAAACTGGAAAGGTGGGCAGATAAGTGGCAGATGTAGTCTAGTGATGGCCCGAATCGTTTGTTTCTGTGCTGCAACATTCCATGGTTCATATTTGAGTGAATGATCCAGTTTTTAGGGAAAAAAAGATTTGTAATTGTAATTGAGGAAGAAATTTTCCTCACGGATCCGTATCCCAGGACAAGTCATCACAAAAGCTACACAATGGAGTGGGCTGATCAGCTGATATTCCATGTCAGGATCTGCTAAGCAATAATTGGATATGACTGCATATAAGAGGATAGACAGATTAGATGAAATGTATAGAGTACAGTCAGGGCCACTTACTGAGCCTTTCATCCTGAAACAGCTACTGTGGGCCAACAACGACTGGCATTTATATAGCACCCTTCACATGGAGTAACATCTCAGTTTAACAGAGTCTTGAACTGGATTCAAACACAGCGCAGCAGCTCAATGCATCGCCCATTCTGCACTGGAGGAAGAGGAGGTAGAATAAAGACCAACATTCACTTTTCCCAGTAAATGCTCCAAAACAATCTGGCTGTAATTTATGGGCAGATTATGTAACACGTAATAGCCCCCTAAAACCTCTCCCACCTTCATCTCCGATATTTCTACCCTCCTAACATCTCTCTGCCTCGGCTCTGATCGCCTCATCATCCTGGGCGACTTCAACCTGCACTTCACCCCCTCCTGCTCCATCTCCTCGGACTTCTCCTCCCTCCTCTCCTTGCTCAACCTCTCTCTCCACTCACATTCACGGCCACCCACTCGATTTGGTG